GAGAGGGTCGGGAGGGGTGGGGAGGGGGACCCAGGGGTGGGAGGGGGTCGAGAGGGGTGGTCCGGGAGTGAGGGAATTCTCCGGTAATGAGGGGATGCTCCGGGAATGAGGGAATGATCCCGGAGCCGCTCCGGGAGCCGGGGGATGAACCGGGAGCTGCTCCGGGAGTCGGGGGATGAACCTGGAGTGAGGGAATGATCCCGGAGCCGCTCCGGGAGCTGCTCCGGGAGCCGGGGGATGAACCGGGAGGGAAGGGATGCTCCGGGAATGAGGGGATGATCCGGGAGTGAGGGAATTCTCCGAGACTGAAGGAACGCTCCGGGAGCCGCTCCGGGAGCCGCGGGATGAACCGGGAATGAGGGAATTATCCGGGAGTGAAGGATGCTCCGGGAGCCGCTCCGGGACTGAGGGGATGCTCTGGGGGTGAGGGAATCATCCGGGAGGGAGGGAATGGTCCAGGAGGGAGGGAATTCTCCGGGAATGAAGGAATGCTCGGGAATGAAGGAATGCTCTGGGGGTGAGGGAATGCTCCGGGAGCCGGAGAATGAGTCAAGAAATGAGGGATTCTCCGGGATTGGGGAGCTGTTCCTGGAACCGGGAGCTGCTCCGGGAGTCAGGGGATGAACCGGGAGGGAGGGAATGATCCCGGAGCCGCTCCGGGAGCTGCTCCGGGAGCCGGGGATGAACCGGGAGCTGCTCCGGGAGGGAGGAGGAGGAGGAGGGAATACCGGGACCAGGAATAAAGAGCCGGGGGGAAACGGGGATTGGGGAAAATGGGGAATTCAGGGATCGGGAATGCAGGAATTGGGGAAATCGGGGAATTCAGGGATCGGGGATGCAGGAATTGGGGAAAACGGGGAATTCAGGGATCGGGGATGCAGGAATTGGGGAAATCGGGGAATTCAGGAATTGGGGAAATCAGGGAATTCAGGGATCGGGGATGCCGGGATTCAGGAAATCGGGGAATTCAGGGATCGGGAGTGCAGGAATTGGGGAAATCAGGGAATTCAGGGATCGGGAATGCCGGGGAGGGGCGCGGGACACGCGGCGGGGGCTCCTCACTTGTACAGGCTCCGTCCCCCGATGGTCTCGAGGTTGGAGAAGACGCTGAAGTTGTGCATGTGCTTGGGCCAGGACTGGATGTTCAGGTACCCTGGGGGGCACCGCGGGCTCAGGGCGGCCCCGGGGGGGTCCAGGGGGGTCCCGAGGATGTCCCGAGGGGTCCCGGGGGTGTCCCAAGGGGTCCCGCGGGGGGTCCCGGGGGTGTCCGGGGGTGTCCAGGGGGGTCCCGGGGGGGTCCAGGGGTGTCCCGAGGGGTCCATGGGTGTCCCGAGGGGTCCCGGGGGGTCCCGCGGGGGGTCCCGGGGGGTCCCAGGGATGTCCAGGGGGTCCCAGGGATGTCCAGGGGGTGTCCCGGGGGGTCCCGGGGTGTCCCGGGGGTGTCCAGGGGGGTCCCGGGGGGGGGCAGGGGTGTCCCGAGGGGTCCATGGGTCTCCCGAGGGGTCCCGGGGGGGCCCAGGGGGGTCCCAGCACCCCCAGCCCCGCTCCTCACCCGTGATCTCCCGCACGGTCCGGAACACGTTCAGCTTCTCGGGGTCCAGCGCCGAGATGTTGCGCCAGGGGTCCCTGCGGGGCCGGGGCGTTCAGCGGGGCTGGGGCAGGGGGGGCTGCGCCCCCCGAAACCCCCCCAGGACCCCCCCAAATCCCATCCCTCACCCCTCCAGGCCCGTGATGAGGAAGTCGAGGTTGCCCAGGATCTTGGTGCAGTTGATGAAGGTGTCGATGTTGCTCGAGTCCACGGTCTGGTATTTGCTGCCGGCGCCGGTGCCCTCGCAGGCTGAGGGGTGCGGCCGGGGGGGGGTCAGGGGAGGGGTCTCGAAGCCCCCAGACCCCTCTCGGGGACCCCCCCGGGGGGAACCCCCGTACCCTTGGGGCACAGCCCCACGCAGGGCTCGCAGATCTTCAGCCCGTTCTTCTCCACCTCCATCTTGTCGTTGGGGCAGGCGCGCACGCACGAGCTCTGGTCCACCACGAAATTATCTGGGGGGACACCCCGGGGGTCACCCCCGAGCCGCCCCCCCCCCCCCCCCC